ATCACGGCAACAGGAAGTGGTCTGCGCCTAGGCGCCAGGCGTGCAGAAGGGAGAAGGGAGAAGACCCTCAGGAAAAGCTTCTAGAGGCCTGGGCCACACAGGCTCAGACAAGGATCCTGACTGGGCCCCAGGCCTCCTGGAGCCCACCATGTGTATGGAGCGTTAGTACCTTTGCCCAAGCAAGCTGAGCTCTGCCTGGGCTGACCAGTGACCCCCAGGTCCAACCTCTGCAGTCTTCTTGACTGGATTATCATTTCTACATTTCCAAAGCTCTAAGGATGGTTTTCCCCATCCTGTCCACCTTACATTTTACTCATCTGCATGTGTGGAGAGGAAGGTGTCTTCCCTACCAGACTGATGCCTCTGGGGGTAAGCACCAAGCTAAGTCACCTCTGTCTCCCCAGGGTGGGAGCATCACCAGTGCTCACTGAAAGACTGAATTACGCAGACCTGCAGCCCCTTCGGCTCTGCCTTCCTCCTCCTACACCACCTGCCCACCAGCACACCTGTCCGTCCTCAACGCCACCAGCTCTGGCCGACATAAGGGGGTGGCAAATAGCTAAGGGGCTCGAAGAGAGCTACAGAGAGGTCAGGGAGTTCAGAGACCAGCTGCTGGAGTAGGTCCCTCATGCTGTTAGCTTTCAGGTAGGTCCCAAAGGTGACAGGGCCCCCCTGTGTCAGCTAACTGGAAAAAGGCAGAACTAGACCGTTCCCAGGAGCTGCTCCAGGGAACAGTCCCTGGCGTGTCTCATGACGACAGGGCGTGGAGGGCACGGAGGGGGGCGTAGTCTGCTGCTCTGGCCTGCAGCTCTCTCACTGTGGCTCAGCACACACCTTGCTCTCCCGGCCCTTCCCAGCTATTGAGTGATTCGACCAGATCAGGCCAGTGATCTAGACATTTCTAAGAACGTGCAATTGTTGGACAATCTAACAAAAGCTATGGCCCTTTCTCCAAAAATTAGTGTCTTCGTGCTCCAAGTCTGCAGGCAAATTCAGGGTCACACACCCCTCTGGAGCCCATCTCTGAGTCTCTTGGACATCCATGGTCATTGGTTACAAATCCCTGGCCTGGATGAACTCTAAGAGCCCTTCCACCTAAAAACAAAAAAACCCTTTCATACTCCAAAGGTGCAAGCTTAAAAGTCTCCCAGATCGACTCTAACCTCTGCAATCTGTTTGGCAAACAGCCTATAAATCAGTGACATCTGATGGCCCAGGAATGACAAACAATCCCAGATCTGGTTTTTATAGTCATTTAAAAACACTCCTCTGACCTGGGCCCGGCAGGCCTGGCTGGGACGGGGCTGCTGTCCACCGGCTGGTGCTGGACACAAAGGACGCAGTGGAGATGAAGTGCCTGGGGGGGCCCGCGTAGTCCACGATCTCGTACTGCCCAGGGCCTGGGAGGGGCGGCTTCGGGGGCAGGGGCAAAGGCTGCGCCGAGAAGTTCAGGATGGGGTTTTTCCTTCAAAAAAGACAAAATGTGAAGATAGCACTCAAGCAGTCTATCAACCGAGCCGAGACCTGCCCAGTACCGAGTTGTCTGCACGAGGACTGCTCAGGCACCAGGAGACCTGGGTGGAGCCTGGCTCCACTGCTTGTGAGCCGGTGGTGGGGAGGGGGGCCCGGAACCTCACTTTCCCCTTCTACACGATGGTGGGTTCACAGGACTAATCTCATAGGCTTGTTGTCAGGCTGCAAAGAGATGACGCGCCTCCAACAGTCATCGGGAGGGGCCCAGCACAGAGCGAGAGCACAGTAGGCACTTTACAGATGTTGTTGCTGAACTGGTCAGGAAATGGGACGAGGCCCCCTGAATTCCAGGGATTTGCCACCCCAGATCAAGAGACCTGGCCAGCACTGACATTTCAGAATCCTAATAAATGTCTTCCCGGCAAGGCAGGATGTGGGAGTGGGAAAATACTTGGTTGGAAATGAAGAGCCCTCTGCCTCACACTTACCACTTACACTGAAATTGTTCCTTTCCAGGTTTATCTCCCTGCCCTTCGGGAAAAGGAGTCTCTTATACCCGGCATTGAGAGAGTACATGAAAGGTCAATGGAACCCATGCTGGAGCCCTAGCTCTGTCACTAATTCACTCTGGGCCTCAGTCTCCCCATCTGCAGAATGAGGAGATTGGATATGATATCCTCTAAAGTCCCTTCCAGCTATGACCATCCACCAGGCCGTGGTTCAAAGAGGTCCCCCGGTTGCCCAGGGAATTCTGGGATTGTTCTGGGAATCCTACTCATCTCCCAGCCATGCAATAGAAGGCTGCCCACTCCCACCTCACGTCTGGGGCTTCGTCTAAGGTCTTTCACCAAAAGGAAAGGGAAAGTTCTTATAGCACCGAACAGCCACAGGAGACTCACCCCAGCTGTCAGCCAACCCACCCAAACAGAGGAGGGGACCGGGATTCCTGGCCATTGGTGCCCTGCCGCCCTTTGACCAACACCTTTGGAAGCGAGGGCATTTTTAAACTCAGAGAGCTAGAGAGGGCCTGGGGATGTCTTATCCAACCTCCTCACTGTGCTAAAGAAATCGGCGCCCAGAGAGAGGAAGCGAGTCCCCCAAAGTCACCGAACCAATGAATGGTAATATCAGCTCCAGAACTCGAGTCTCAAGGGCCTAGCAGTTTGGGGAAGGCATCACGGCAGAGGGGAACCTTTGAGATTTCGAGTCACACAGACCTGCATCTGAATTCCAGTTATCCCACTTACTGGCTGTGAGACCTCAGACGAGTCCCTCGACCTCTCTGTCCCTGCAGCAAGGAGCAACAACACCCTCTCTCTGTATGGTACTTGGTGAGTGGAGAAAAGAAGGCGCTTGGCTTCGTACCAGCTCACAGTAAATGCTCAATAAAAGCAGCTGTTGTTAGTAGGATGACCCTGCAAGCCCGCTGCTTGGTCTCAGTGCAGCAACGGAGCCTCAGAAAGGGAGGCTAGGGGGCCCCTCACACAGAGTCACCCTGGGGCAAGCTGGCCACTCCCACTGCCAGGCCATTGAAAGTCATCGTCAATCTGCTTGAGGCTCACATCTCAGGACGAAGGGACAGCTGGCTGGGATGCTTATATTTAGAACAAAGGTACCCACAGGAAAAGGAGAAAAAAACATGCCTCTTTCTTCCCCTCCAACTGACATGGAAGAACTGGTTATAGTGTGTGATCAGCCACCTCTCCCCTTAGAAATGAAAGCAGGCTTCTCCTTGTTGTGGCTTGTCATCCCTTCAAAGCACCCCCAGAAATTTGATGAGTGTGGGACTGGCATCACTGAGAGATAGGCTTGAGTCCTAAAAGCTGGAGCCGGAATGAGCCAACCACTGCATGAGGTCACCCCAGGGGTCTGGGTCACCCCCGGGCCCCATTCTTTGAGAAGGCCATGAGGTGTCTACTCTCCTAACTGGGGACAGTCTGTGGGAGGCTGGGCCAGTGTCTCATCAGGATTCTTGGCAAGAGGGCCGAGAGAGGTCCCTTGCCCTCCACCCCATCCACGTGCCCAGGAGAGGCTTGGCACCAGCAGCTCGGCTCTCTGGATCTTTAAAGAGCGCCAGCCACGTGTGCAGCCATGTGCCAGGCACTCTGGGGAGTCCAGACTGTTCTGTGCTAAGACACAGACCCTGAATGCTCCCAAGGGCTTGACAGTCCCCTGCTAGTGATAGTCGTGGCTGGTGATTAAGGAAGTACAAGCTCTGCACCCACACAAACTTGGGTTTGAATCCACTCTCACTAGCTGTGTGACCTTGGAGAAGTCTCAGCCTCCCTAAGGCTCAGTTCCTTCATCTGTGAAATGGGGGATAAGAATACTTTCCATCCAGATTATGAAGATTATAACTAGTGTTTCACTTGTATTATTTTTTTTAAAGCAAGAAATATTAGAATAGAGGTAAAAACACTGCACTGGCGGGGGTGGGGGGGATTCCAATTACGTGAATCCAGAACTCTACCCTAGAAGAGCTAACATTTGCCCAGCAAGATAAGCAGGAATTCTTCAGGGAGAAAAGGGGCATTTCCCACAGAGGAAGCAGCAGGGGCAAGAACATGGACGAAGCATGAGCTGCAGCTGCATGTGGCAGGGATTGGGACAAGGAAGCAGAGACTACTGGGCCTCCTAGACTGCCTTCAGCCCTCAGTGCACCCGTGGCTTCTAGGGTGTCCACCTGTTTCTGACCATCCACTCTCACAGACCCCGATGAAAAGCTAAACGAATAGCTCCTATTTATGGCCTCTCCATCCAGCCTAACCTCCCATGCCCCTTGCTCCCATTTGACCTTCCAGAAACCCCCAACACAACACTGTTTGACCACGCCTTGCCTTTGCCTGTGCTCTTCCTTCTGCCAGGATCACCTCCTTTCCCTGCCAACTCTGATCAGTCTTCACGTCTCACATCCTCCAGGGAAATTTCTGTGGCCACTGCCCTCCCCCTGCCCCATTGCCCTTCCTGGGGCTCCACAGAGCAGCATGGGTCCTGGAGTCAGCTGGACCTGCATGCCACACCTTGCTCCACCACCTTCATCTATACTCTATGTAACAGTACTGCCCTGCGGGGGAGCTGGGAGCATGACGCTAGGTGACATCCATGAAAGCTCTTAGCTCAGCGCGGCTGGGCCCTCGATACGTTCTAGCCCTTCTTCTTTTCTCTGAACAGAACATGCTAGGTTTTCTAACACTCTTTACGTGCCTAGCTCTTTAAGGCAGGGGACTGCATCTGACTCATCTTTGGGGCCCCATCCCTACTCCCCAGGACATTTGCTGAACTGCAGAGAAAAGCGGAGGGGGTCTCAGCAAGTCGGGGAGCCCAGACATCTGAACCCCACCTGACAGTTTTAGCATCGTTCGGGGCTGCTCCCTCCATGGCAGGGTGGGGCTGGGCAGATCACAAAGGTCATGCTGGATCAGACCCAGGGCAGCCCTCAGTGCATTGTGACCGGGGCTTTTATGAGCCTCATTGCTCAGTTATAAAAGCCAACCTGGTCCTGCCCCGTAGAAAGAAAACATCTATCAAAGGCTCTGAGTTGGCCACAACTGGATTAAGTATGTTTGCAGCTCCCAATGTGAGCTGTTTGCAAATCGCCCAAGAATAATGAATGTCTCGGAGGACTCAGCAGGTCACTTGGGGAAGGCATCTGAGACCCTCGGGACACTCCCAGGCACCGATTCACTCTGCCTCAGGGATTCCCAGGGTTGGGAGGGATAAAGGGGCAATTTTTTCTCATCATTAAAGGGCAGCCGGTTGCCTCTGGGGTGGAATGCAGCATCTGTTTAACAGGGTATAGAGGGTGACAGATTACAGCCGCTTGGGAAGAAGCATCCCATATCTAATTGAAAATCCCAGGGGAACTTTAGGTGGGTCATGATAATTACCCAAATTGGCACAGGGCCAACAGGGTTTGATTCTTCAGCTCTGGCTGTGGCAGGACAGCATGTCTGTGCAAAACCAGTGGCTTAGAAACTCCAGGAAGTAGATCAAGGGTTAGAAAGATGTCAGTGGGCGTTTACCCTCCCTGCTGGCGAGCGTGCGTGGAAGGCAGCACCCAGGAGGGACCAGTTTGATCTCTAAAAAGCCCTTATCCTGACTCACCCTAATTCACTGACTCATCACTGTGACGGTGTTGAAGACCTGAAGCGGACACCTCACTTATCTTCGAAAGCCCCCCCGTAAGCCGATAAATGCTCTTAGCTTTGCGTTGGAAGGTGGCCACAGCAAAGAGACACCTGTGCCCTGTTCTTGAGCTAGGGAGCCCAGACATGGTCATCCAAACATCCTGCCAGCCCTTGACACAGCACCTGCCCTCCAGGGGCCACTCAAGAAGCAGCAGGTGAGTACAGCCGACCCGCTCACATACCTCAATAAACATACAAGTTACGTGTATCAAAAGCTTACCGTGCGCCAGGCCTGGTGAGTTCTGGGGGTTATCTTATGTTATCCTCGCAAGCACATTACCAAGTGTTCATTTCACAATTTGCAGAGTTGAATTTGAATTCCTGGGAGTTAAGGGGCCCCCTCCCCACCCCCAGGCCCCCAGAGCTGGGGAGTGGGGGAAGGGCGGTTCAGTGCTGGTCTGACTCGGACGGAGCCTGTGCGTATACACATCCCCTAGGCCACACTGCTTCTGTGGCTCATTCTCAGCTCTGGGGGCCAGGGGGGAGAGTGGAGACAAGACAAGCCCATGCCTCGCCCCCGGCCGGCCTCCCGAGCACATCACCCAACCCACAACTCCCTGGGCTTCACTTTTGTTGGTGGGTAACATGGGACCAACAATTCTAGGGACAACTCATATCTCCCGATTCTTCCTGCATCCTCAAGAAAGCAGAGCCTAAAGGTTATTTTTGCAAGCTGGGACCCTCCCCCAAAATAAGGAGCCAAGCACTGCAATTCAAGACAAATAAGGAACCTGGGCTGCTTGCACTAGCCACAAGGAAACCCAGTGATGACTCTCGGGTTCTCTGCCACTGCCCCATGCAGCCCTGGAGAGCGTATAGTGCTCAGACTTGGTGTGGATAAAGTCTCAACGAAGTTACATAGAGATGGGGAGGAAACCACGCAGACCTTCTTAGGGGCCTGATGATCCCAGTGAGTGCCCCCCCACACACACTCCTGCCACTCCCGTCCCTCTCTTCCCTTCAGGGACACAGGAGAGGAAACAGAACTCCAATTTGAGAGACTGGAGTCTGGATACTCCCTCAATAGAGGGTATTTAGCTGTATCTTTTCTTTATATTAACTCATTTCTTCATCATTGAACATAAACCAATGGATGCTTGTTTAGATTACCCAGCACACACTTGAAGTTTATCTTCTTGTTTTTTAAGTACATTTACAGATTTCTCGGCTATGTCCTTTCCATGTCAATTAAAAATATATGTATTTTGGGCCTTCTTTGTGGGTCCAGGCTGGTTCCGTGTTCACTGCCCCTAGTATGTGCTCCTGAATGACATGGTGAGCAAACCCGGGGTCCTGGAGTGTCAGAAATGGAAAGACCTCCCCCTCTTTTCACACATAAAGAAATAAGGCCCATGGAGGTGCTGAGAGCAGCCCCAGACCACGGGGGAAGTTAACACAAATGTCCTGCCCAGGGCACCATGCACTCACCAGGGGGAACCCAAGTGGGGGTTTATGTACTCACCAGGGGGAACCCAAGTTTAGGAGACACTGGGTTTAATAAGTTTCTTTACTTCGGGACATCTCATAGCCTTTAATTAGGCCATGCACACAGTGATGCTCCCAGGGGCAGAGGGTTCATATTCAGTGCTTCCTAGACTTGTTAACCAAAGATCTGTCATTCACAAAGCATCACAAAACAGCCAGCGATCCCCAGACACCCCCAGACACGCCAGCGCCACTGCACTGCACCCAGCTAGAAAGACTGCCCTCCGGGATCTGTGTAGCCGACAGCCTTGGGGCCACATGATCCAGCATTTTGTTGCACATGCCTCTGCTTTGCTCTGGAGTCATTCCCAGGTGAACCCAGCTGAAGGTATGTATGGTGCCCTATTCACCCGAGCACCCCCTCAGCCTCCAGCACAGACCCAGAAACCGACAGAGCCTGACTGACAGGTGCAAATGTCATAAAATGAGAATGATTTCAAACTGCTCATCCAAACTTTAGCAAAGGCAGAATGGCGCTTCTCTGGGGAAAGCAGCTCAACACTGAGTGTTCTCCACTGTCCTTTTCATTACTTCCTCGAAGGAGCTTCCAGATTCAAGCTAGGGGCCTGAGTGGCTATACCAAAGAGGAGTTGTACCCTATATGCTCATATGCCTTGGATACCGAATAGCAACAGTTATAATGATAAAATTCTCATCTAACCCTCACAGAACCCCTAGGAGATAAGACTCTTATCTCCACTTACTAGTATGGAAACTGAGGCTCAGAGAGAAGCAGCCCCTGCAAGGGACAGAGCTGTGACTCACACCCAGTTCTGCTAGCTCCAAAGCCTGTCCCCTTACCCACTCTACTCGTTGGCACAGCAGGGGAACGGTGGTGTGCAGTGGCGTCCGCCCTAAGCCCGCCTGGAGGCGGGAGACCCTGACGTTCAGAGAGAGCCGGCTCCTGGAGACCGTCCTTCCCCAGTTTTGAGCCCTGGAGCCTGTGAGCGGTCAACCTGCAGAACCCAAGAGCCAAAGGGCAGATGGGACTTGCCCAGTAGATTCCATCTGAGCTCTGAATCCCTTCTCCAGATCGGCAGGTTCTTGTCTTGCTCCTCTCCCCAGTCCTGTCTCCTTGTCCTGCGCTGGAGATCAGAGTAGGCTCGATGTTACCAGCCTCCCTCGGTTGCCTGGACTTCTGACTCGCTGTGGGTATGAGCCCCTGGCTACCTGCCTGACCCCCAGGGGCCAATCCTGCCTGGAGAGGACTATACTGGGGTGAGGTCTTAGATGGCGACAGGCAGCCTGACCGTACAGTTAGTTCTAGTTCTAGAACCATCTGAGGAATAAATAAGCCCTGTGAGTTCTTGAACCTGTTTGGTGAAAGTGATATTAAATGCATAGGGTATTAATCATGTTAACACAAATCCCCATCTTCACCTTTTAAATTTGTGCTAATATTGTCACCATTTGCACCTACTCCATGCCAAACCTATGTTATAAAATCTGAAAGCAACACTATGAGGCATGAATTTATCCCCACTTTACTTCACAGTTGAGACCATGGAGGCTCAGAGGGCTTAGTACAGTGCCTTAGGTCACACAGCATGAAAACAGCAGAGCTGAAGGTCAAATCCAGCAGATCCAACCAACTCCACGGTCTAGACTTTCAACCTATCGGCACAAAACTATGACAGCCCCATGCTGCTGTATATCCTGCCACCCCAGTAAAGATTTTATGTTATAAAAGTAGAATAATGTCAGCGCCAGGAAAGCACATCATCAGGAGGGATGTGGAAAGATCCAGCTAGTCCTGAGCCTGATTCCCAGTGGCATTTCAAATTAGCTGTATGCACATAGGCAAATCCTCAGCCTCATTGCAGCCTAGCTGCCCAGTCTATGAAGTAAGAATAATAATTCATACAACAGGGTCGTTGTGATGGTTCAGATGCTAAGTTGCTGGCACATAGTAGTTGCTCAATAAATATTATGCATTAAATAAGTATTTATTGTGCACCCACTATGTCAGTGAGGGCCCCTGGAGAGTGACCTGGAGTTGTATCCTGCCAATCAGAGACACCCCTTTCTTTTCTGCTTATGTTGGGTCCTTCCCCAGAACCACCTTTCCAAAGAAAGATCAGAATAATCAGGACTCACGGGATAAGAGTCTTTTTCAGAATTTTGGTGTGATCATTGGGGTTGTAATAACCAGGTCCCGGGCCTGCTGATGTCAGTTTTAATCCACGTCCAGTTTTTGATTTAAAACAAGACATTAATACCTTTGGCGACTGCTTCACAAGGGATTCGTTGATATTATAATGCCCTAAGAAGAAAGACATTTTAAAACAGAATAAGGAACTCTTCTCAAGTTAATGAAAAGCAGTATCTCACACCTAAGAATACATTTAATACTATAAGGGGCTATCACTCCACGATGGTCTGATGGAAGGGCTGCCTGAAGTAACTGAAAATTACACTCACCCTTTAGGAAACATGCTCACAGCAGCCCAGCTAGGTGGGTCATTGTCACCTCCATTCTAAAAAGGAGGAAAGGGAGACTCGGAGATATTGAATAGATTTGCCAAAAAGATTTCATCTAATTAGGAACTAAGCCCAGCTTCCTCCTCCATGAGGTATGAATAATTCTTCCAACAACAGGGTGGTTAGGATAGCTGAGTAATACTGAAGTTCCTGGCACGTAGTAGTCCTTTAGTAACTATTATGCAATCAACAAATATTTATTTAGCACCTACTATGTGGACCCAGGGCCACCTGTCTCCAAAGTCCATGCTTTCCCACCATGCCTTGTTTCAAGAAACTGTGAGAGAATAAAATGAATTTGGCTGCGCACAAAGCTTCACAAAGAAGAGAAGGTTCTGGGCTGGGGGAAGAGGAGGTAGGGTCAACCCTAAATTGTCGGGAGCCCTGTCGGTGGGTGCAGGTGTTTTTGGAGTGCAAAGAGGCAGTACTGAGCCAAAGTCTTGAGGATGTCTAGATCCTCTGACCCAGCCTTCCCATTACTCAGAAATTAAGGAAATTATTCAACATACGGGAAAAGCTCTAAGCATAGAGACACACACAACAGCAGTAGCCGCAGTGTGAGAAGGGGTACGTGGCCTGAAGGTCCGAGACCAGGGGCACTGTGAGGGAATAGCAACCCGGTCTGGTGGAAGGCCAGCCCTGGCCATGATAAATATGGAGACCATAAAGCCGCATGGCCATGTTTTTGAAAATAAAGATGAGTGAAAACAATGCCTACAAGTCCCTATATACTATGATGACATCTAGGTACAAATGGATCCGTCTGAATAAAAATAGGTGGGAGCCCAGAAAAGTGGTAGCATTGTGGGTGGGAAAAATATTTCAAGTTTTCTAAACATTGTAAGATTGATTTCGTTTTAAATAAAATGTACTCTTCCATTGCAAATGTACTGAAAACAACAATATGGGGCATTAGCAAGTCAACGTATTAGCAAGATTCTATTTAAATGATCATACCCAGTGGTGGCAAAGGTGAGGAGAAGCAGGTGCCTCATAGAAGCAGGAGGATAAATTACCTCTCTGCTGAAGAGCAATTTGGTCACCAATAAAAAAAAAAAAAACCTTAAATATTTTACATACTTTTGACTTAGCAATTTCACTTTAAGCAATTAATATAAGGAAATAATCTTTTTTAAAGATTTTATTTATTTATTTGAGAGAGAGAGAATGACAGACAGAGAGCACGAGAGGGAAGAGGGTCAGAGGGAGAAGCAGACTCCCCGCTGAGCAGGGAGCCCAATGCGGGACTCGATCCCGGGACTCCAGGATCATGACCTGAGCCGAAGGCAGTCGCCCAACCAACTGAGCCACCCAGGCGCCCTAGGAAATAATCTTGATTGTACACAAGCTATGAGCTACAAAGATGTTTGATGCCTAAAACAACCTACATTTCCAGGAAGAGGCCATTTGGTCCTTAACTTACAGTACCGCCATGCCATGGAATACCATACATCCGTTTCAAAAATTATATTCTTTGGAGGTTTCTTAACATGAAAAGATGTTCCCAATATATGCTTAAGTTAAAAAAAGGCAAATGTCCAGTATAGCAATATTTATAATATCGGTATGCATCTCTCATATTTTGTTTCTTTTTCTCTCATGACCGTGTAAATATGTATATATTATATATATACAAAATATATTTTTTTTCCTTCCACAGAAAGGTTAAAGCAACCCCTTGATTATCAAATGCTGAAAAGCAGAAGGAAGGAGAGAAAGACACTCACGTTCCTACGGCCCAGAGAGAACCAAGGGTAAGCACTGGTGTTTATTTGCTTCTTGTCTTTTCCTGAGTGTGGTTGGAGGACTACACGGTGTTGATCTCACAGTGCAATTCATATTCTGAAATGCACGTTTTTCAAGTGACTCTTTAACATCTGCGTTTCCCCCTAATCTAATAGCCTTTTTTTTTTTTAAGGAAAAATAGAGAGGAGGACATTCATGATGTGCTTGGCAAACGTAAACTTCACAAAATCCAACCAGCAAATGTGTGAAGGTGAGCATTTTGCTCAGAGTTGAAGGTAGGCCAGTCGTGGCCCTCAGCCCCTGAGGAAGAGGCCCTCGGAGCAGCTGGGACAGGGACCCTGCAGGGGCACCAGTCACAGCTCCACATCTGTTTTCCCCCAGCAGGAGAAGGAGCCACCCGTTATTTCTGAGAGGTCCAAGCTGATTGTTTATCACACAGGGGCAGATTCCCCAGGCAAGTTTTGGGTGGGTCTGAGGCACCAGGTATCAAGTGGGATGGGCCTGGACTCAAATCCACCGATGGGACCCTGGGCCAATTACCTGCTTTCTAAGTATCATTTTTGCCTGTAAAATGGGGATCAATAATAATTGATCACGCTTTCTGACCACAAGATCGCGTGCCGGCCAAACCCTCCACAGGGTCTGGAGATCGTTCGATGAGAAACGTAAAGCCTCTGGCACACAGTAGGAATTTAACACATCCTGGTACCCACATACTCTCCCCCTCTGCTCCATTACAAGGGGCTATGGGCCCCTGAGGACCCTCCCGGAAGGAGTGGGGGCATGTGGCCAGCTGAGCAGGTGCCCACATCCCGGGGCTCACTGGCAGGGCCTCTGGCCAAACTCCAGGGATGTGGCCTTTGTTCTGTATAAACAAATAAGGTGGGGCTTTGCCTATGATGATGTAAGCCAGGGGAGCTTTAGCCAGGGCTTAGCCTCCTAATTAGGGCTGGTTTTGTTATTCAGCTTCAGACTGATCTTCTCAACTTTAATCTGGATTTGGTGAAATCCAAAGTGTGCTGCAATTTTATCCACACCCCGCCCTCAAGAGGTGTGATTGCATAGGCAAACCCTCCCTGCTCCTCCCTCAGCTCCGGGGCTCAAGGCTCCCTGCGGGGAGGACCCACCGGGAAGGTCTACTCTGACGAGGGCTCCCAGAGTGCCAGTGGTGGCATCCCCTGACCTCTCTGGAAGCCTTTCACTGAGGCTGGAAGCGGGGAGCAGGTCTGAGAGAACAGGGCGGAGCAACACCTCTCCCGGCCCAGAGGGGAAAACACTTGCAGGCCAGCTCTTGGGGCGGTCTCAGAAGTCACTGGGGGCTGATGGGGGCAATAGTCTCCTCAGCCAGACACCCCTGGGCTTAGGCCTGCCATCTGTCCGCCGTGGGACGCGGAGCAGGTCACTCCCGCTCTCTGAGCACCATCTCCTCACCAGACACAGGACTGAGAGTACAGGCCAAGGAAGACCGATGCGGGAGGACTGCGTGGAAAATACTAGGCTCTCAGTAAACGGAGCCATTTTCCAGTGTTTGGGGACTAGTTGATGAAGTCCGCTCTAGGCTCAGGAGGAAAGGAAGGGTCTGGACACTCAGCGTATTGAGTGCCCCACCCCCGGGGCCTGTGAGGACGCCTGGGGCACGTGAATGTGCACACTTCTGTGGTGAGAAGCCACTTCCCCATCTAGCAGCCCAGAGCAGATGTGCTCGGTCATGGAAAGGGAGGCCAGCGAGGCTGCTTTGGGGCCATTTCCAGAGCAGCCCTTCTTCCCCTGAGCTTTCTCCTTTTTGTTCAGCACCTGTTCAACAACCCCACTCCACCCAAAGCTGAACTCCTAAAAAGACTCCCTATGAAGCAATGGTGCCCCACAGAGCAGATCTGGTATGTTAACCCTTGGGTCAAGACCAGTGCAAGGTGGCTGCTTACCTGGGGCAGGTCCTGTTTCAGCGACAGTGAAAAATCCTCTCTGGGTTTTGGACATAAACCCGGCTCGGGCACAGACGTTGTTTCTCTGCTTGCAGTAAGAGACAGAGGCCTGGGGGGAGAACACAAGCATGGTATTCCTCAGAAAATGAACAGAGTGGAAAAGTTCCCCCCGACTGTGCCTTTGCCATCACCCGAGCTGGAGAGGCCGAGGAGTTTGTGATCACCAGCAGATGTCTGGTCACCTCCCCATGGCACAGAGGACAGAGCCCAGAAGAGAGCCCGAAGACCAGGCTGCCAGGCTGGTCTTGTGTCTGCCACACATGGGGCGTGATGCTGCACAGGTTGTGCAGTTTCTCTGAACTTGAGTTTCCTCAGCTGTAAAACGGATCAGGTAACCCCTGCTCTAGTTGATGCAGTGAGGGTGACAACAGTCAAGAGACATCACCTATAGAAAAGTGTCTTTTTCAAGTCCGTAACACCGCAAATGCGCATTGTTTTCCTTATTTTTTTCTATGACTTTTATTCCTTTCAGGATGCTGAGTCCTACACATCGCCATCCTGAGTCCTTACCGTTCAAACAGCCCTCCTATGAACGCAGGATTTGGGGCACACAAGGCCATCAGGTAATTTAAGATTACGATCAGATCTGTAACACTCCCTTGTCTCGACTTTTCTGGACAGACCAGAAATTAAGAATTTTGACTGATCCACACAATATACAGCATGTTCAGCACTCTGAAAATAATAGGAGAGAGGAAAAAAAAAAAAAAAAGAACCCTGAGATCATCCCTCTACTATATGTGAATCATAAATATTTTAAATGCCAATTTGCCGTCAGTCCCCTGTATTCATTAGATAAAGATGCAATAAAAATCGTAAATGTAGTGACTGGGAATATTTACTGAATGAGTGAAACTATTTGCTGGGGCCAGGATGGTTTGATTTTCCTGAGATACTCCTTTGTGGGAAAAAAAAAAAAAAAAGTTTCTCAAGAAATGCAGATGGCATTTTGATTTTGTGTTTACAAAGGTGGAGGAATTTAGCTTTTCCCAGGGTCCTAATGGCTAGAATGCATGCAGGGAGGGCAAACAAAAACATCAGATGGGGCAGGCTAATTACTGAACAGAGGGACAGGAACCGGGTTGCCGGAGAGGAAGTAATAACACAGTATGGAGAAAAAGGATTCTAATAGAGAGGTGGGGGATTGAGGTAAGCAAAGGCAAAGAAAAGCCCTAACAGACCTCGCCTGTGGTGTGGCTAACAGGATTATCACATTTCTGCTTCTTGCCAGTTGACTCAACCATTGTTCTCCAGGTCTGAAAAAAGCCTCCTGTAGACAAAACACGATTTCAGCCTTATTCCTCATCCAGACAGAAGAACAACTGAAAGAGGGAGCATTTTTGTATACTCTGAGTGTGTGTCACTGGAAGATTTCACCATTAGATGAGGAAAACAGTCAGCTAGCTTCATTGGCAGGTTGGGGGGAAAAAAATGAAGCAGGTTTACTGTATCACCATGGGGAAAAAAAAATCCAAGATATAGCTGAGTAGAAAATGCACGTGTACCGTGGACAGCATAATCCTAATACTGGAGGTAGGGTTGGGGGAGGAAGAGACTATGAAAGAAACTGCACCTATTTTTGATGGTGGTTTGCTTTAGAGGGCAGAATTGTAAGAGAATTCTGCTTTTCTAGTTCAGGGCTTTCTAAAATACTTGAATATATTTAATGAAGAGCATGAATTATTTTCACAGTCACATTAAAACTATAATCAACAAAAACCATGCACTTAAAATTGATCCATTGGCAGAAGGTCTGAGCCCTGACTTGGGAAACGGTCTTTTCTAGATTAACGACTGTACATGATGAGGGTAATTCCTTCAACGTCATGAGCATTTACTGCAAGTGTACCATATACCAGGACCTGCGGGGGGCGCTGGAGATGCGAAGCTGGGTGAAGGAGTGCACAGTGGGTTGCAGAGGCAGATGCCTGAAACACTAACTCCCTCTCTCTCGGGAATGGCAAAGGTGCAACGGCCAAGAACATTATCAATTTCTTGGACCAGGCCTTGACCTCTCTCCTGTTAGTATAACAGCCTCCTAACTGGTTTTTCAAAATCCACTCTTCACCCAAATAGTGGTCCATTCTCCATACAGCTGCGGGCGGGAGCTTTTTTAATAAAGTACATCAGATGATGTCTCTCCCTCAAAGGCTTCCCGCAGGGAACCAAATTAAAGATCCCTCCCAGGGTTTTTAGGGGCCTGAACGAACTAGCCCCTGCCTATCTCTCTGGCTTCCCCTTATTCCCTCTCCTCCTAGCTAATGCTACTCCAGCTACCTTCTTGTAGTTCCTCAAGGTTCAGCTGCTTGCTGTCCCAGGACCTTTGCACATGCTTTTCCCTCAATTCTGGCTCTTCCTTCAATTCTCAGGTCTCGGCCCCAGAGCCTTCTCTGACCACCCAGTCTAAAATACATGATGCTATCAACCCCCCATATTCTCCACATATTCTGTCTCTCAGGGTCCAACTATTTGTCTGCCTCAAAGCTGGCCACAGTTTGTAATTATTTTGTTTGCCTGTTTACTAGTTTTGTCATGCGTTCCCTGCTGGAATCTAAGCTGTATCACTGGTGTAGCACAGAGTAGCCACAGATTCCCTGAAGGGAGACCCAGCAGGGCCGGAACATGCTGACCGATCACTCTCCAGCTGTATACCCCAGCCATCTACCTGCACTCACTGATAATGCAAACGGTCCCTTTGAGCAGGGTAACTTTGGGCAAATCCCGTCCCCTCCCTGAGCATCAGCTTTCTCTTCTGTAAATTGAAAAAAGAGATAACCTACTTCATGGATTCTTGTGAATATTAAATGAGATGAATACATAATGCTTAGAACAGTACATAGGCCTGGAATAGTACTTCATCATCATCATCATTATTATTATTTTCAGACTCTGATTATCCCAGGGGAAGACTATCTAGAGTTGTTCTAATATAGTAGCCACTGGCTCTCGAGCACTGGGGACATGGCTGATCCAAATTAAGATGTGCTGAAAGTATAAAATACACACTGGGTTGTAAAGATAGATGGAAAGAATGTAAAACATTAGTTATTTTTATTTATAATTATGTGTATAATTATTATAAATAAAAAGTATAATTAATAATTTTATATTGATTAGACATTGAAATTAGATCTTGAATATACTGGGTTAAATAACGTATATTCTTAAGATTGCTTTCACCTGTTCCTTTTTACTTTCAAATGTGGCTACTGGGAAGATTTAAAGATTTTATTTATTTTTGCGAAAGAGAGAGGGAGAATGAGCGTGAGCTGGGGGAAGGGCAGAGGGAGAAGCAGACTCCCTGCCGAGCAGGGAGCCCGATGCAGAACTCAAACCCAGGACCCCGGGATCATGACCCGAGCAGAAGGCAGATGCTTAACAGACGGAGCCACCCAGGCGCCCAAGATTTAAATGATATATGTTGCTCCTGTTATATTTCTTTTGGACAGTGCCAGC